TCTGACATTCCACCCAAGATAAAATTATTTTTATTTATTGGTAGATGTGTTTGGGGGGTAGCTTTAGAAGTTTTCACCTGGTCTTCCTCATTATAATAGCTCCTATCCCCAGGTCAAGAAAGCAATGTGGAAGCTGTGCTAACTACCAAGTATGACCACTCTAATCACAATGTGGGGACTGGGAAAATGACCATTGTTATTGGCATCTGAAGTGGAGAACAGCTTTATGGGACTGAGTCCCTAACCTGTGGAATCCGATACTATCTCCGGGTAGATAGTTCAGAATTTATTTAAATTGTAAGACACCCGGATAGTGTTGGAGACTTGCTGGTTGGTGTGGGGAATCCTCCCCGCTCCCCAAGATACGTTGGAATTTGATGCAGTCCTCTTACCAACTGTCTTACCTCTAGAGATGCCATCTCCATAGCTCTTTGCTCATCGGGCTCTCCTGGATTTCATTCCAACCTTGCTGCTTATTATAATAATTGCACCACCTGGCTTTTGGTGGCTGAGGAATACCATCTGGACTCTATTATTTTGGGACCTTATTATTCCCATTGCTGTTAGAGAATCCAGTTCTGTAGCATCTCTATAATCAATCCTGCCCTTCAGAGGAGAGCTACTACTGATAGCTCAAAGATGTGCCCCTCTCACCAGCGTATTCTTCATTGCTTTGGCCTTCTTGTAGAATGAAGTCATCTGGTGGGCTTTCAAGGCTTACACAGTCTGTTCATTCTAGCATGCTCACTTCCTTCAACCTTTTTTGTTTTTAATTTTTTTTTTTTTTTATCCTCACCCGAGGACATTTTTCCATTTTTTGTTCAGGTAGAGTGGGAGGGAGAGAGAGGAACAGAGAGAGAGAGAGAAACATCGATGTGAAAGGAACACATCGAGCGGCTGCCACCCGCACAACCAACCAGGGCCGGGGACAAACTGCAACCGAAGTACGTGCCCTTAGCGGGAACCGAACCCGGGTCTCTCAGGACCGCAGGCCGACGCTCTAACCGCTGAGCCAAACCGGCCAGGGCTAATTTTTTTTTTCTTTATTCATTTTTAGAAAGAGAGAGAGGAAGGGAGAGGGAGAGGCAGAAACATTGATGCTAAAGAACATTGATTGGCCACCTCCTGCATGCCCCCCACAGGGGATTTGGCCCACAACCTGGGCATGTGCCCTGACTGGGAATCGAACCGGTGACCTCTTGGTGTATGGGTCGATGCTCAACCACTGAGCCACATTGGCTGGGCCAACCTTTTTTTTTTTTAAGATTTTTTTTTCTTTATTGATTTTAGAGAGGAAGGGAGAAGGAGAAAGAGATAGAAATATCAATAAGAGAGAACATCGACTGGCCACCTCCTGCATGCCCCCCACTGGGGATTTGGCCCACAACCTGGGCATGTGCCCTGACTGGGAATCGAACTGGTGACCTCTTGGTGCATGGGTTGTTGCTCAGCCACTGAGCCACACCAGCTGGGCTCCTACAACCTTTTGACCCCCTTCTTCCACTGCCTGCCATGCAGTTCTAGCATTTCTACTTTACTTAAGAGGGGCTGTTACACTCTGCAAACTTCTAAGAGCCAGTCTAGCAGCACGTCAACACCTTCTCCTGAGTGTTAAAACCTATACCCAAAAGAGTACTTCCATATTGGTGTAACTATACACAAACTTTATTTCTTTAATATAATCTTTTCTCCTTTCTTTTTTTTATTAAAAAAAATTTTTTTATCCTCACCCAAGGACAGTTTTGCATTCATCTTCAGATACAGCGGGAGGGAGAGAGGGAGAAAGAGAAAGAGAAACATCAATGTGTCTGAGAGAGATGCATCAACTGGTTGCCCCCCCATGACCCCAACCAGGGCCAGGGGCAAACTGCAACCGAGGTGTCCTTAGAGGGACCCAAACCTGGACCCAAACTTGTCTCTGTGGTCCAGAGGCCCACACTCTAACCGCTGAGCCAAACTGGCCACAGCTCTCCTTTCTTTCCTTTCTACTCAAACTGGCCTCATTCGACACCCTGACTCCTTCTCCCTTTTGTGTCAACTCCCTTAATCATTAAGCCCCAGGGACAATGAGGCCCTGGTTGTCATCAGATAATCTTAGGAATAAGCCTCAAGCCTTGGGTCTTTTAACCACAGAGACAGTTTCAATGAAACTAAAGATAACATCGAGGCCTCAGTGTGTTTCAGCTCCAGACCCAGAAAAGCAGTAAACTGTGGTAGGCAGTTAAACAGATATGAGCAGAGCAGGGACGATGGGCCAGGTACAGGAAAACCCTTTGCGCCTAGCGAAGGACAGTCATGGGGGACCTCGTCCCCAGGGTGATCTTTCCTCCCCTAGCATATCCCTGGTCATGCAGTTTGGACCCCCTGAGCTTTTCTCCCTAGAGATAACATCTAGGCCATTACCCTTGCCTTCTTCACTCCCAAGGGCCCTTTCTTTGCCTCTATAACTTGTTTTCAAAGCTCATTTCTTCTACAAATTGCTTCTTCTACCTCTGTGATTTTCAAATAAGTGTTCTCTCATAGTTTGTCTTGACTCTGAATTATTTCCTAGCTAGATTCAAGTACCAAGGTCGCTTAACCCAGGTCCAGTCCGACCCCACAGGCCTAACACCTGGTGCTGCTCCCATTGCCCCCCAACATTAAGATCCTGGTGGATATCAAATAATCTTAGGAACAAAGCCTCAGGTCTATTAACCATCGAGACAGAGTTTTAATCAAACTAAAGATAGCCCTGGCCGGTGTGGCTCAGCGGTTGAGTGAAGATAACATCGAGGCCTCAGCTGTGTTTCAGCTCCAGACCCAGGAAAAAAGATGAAACTAGATGAAGCGATGCCATGGCTGACATCAGAACCAATGATCAACTACCTCCTACCCTAGTGCCCACCAATCTAAAGATCACAACCCTGACCACAACCCAAACTCCCTTAGTTATCATGATGAATGACTTTTGCCCTATATAACTCATCCCCTAGAAGCCATCAGGAAGCCAGGTCTTCGAACCTTCGCTCATCTGTGACTCCAGATGTGGGCCACTTCCTCAAATAATAAAGCCTTATCTACTTCGCTGCAAGCTCATGCTGGTGTCTTTTTGGCCTTTGATGCACATAAGCAAATCAGCACCTTTAGTCTGGTAACACTGGTAAACACTTCCTAATCCAATTTGATTTTTATCTTTATCCCTTGATCTAGCACTCTTAGAATTGAGTTGCATGGACACTCTGCTTCTGAGGTATGGCAGGTTCTGCAGAAGCTTCAGAGAGCCTCACCTTTCCCCCTTAGCAGGCCTACGCTTTCCTATTGGTTTATATGTAACTTTAGTTACTGATCTAGGAGGGAGGTGGGGACATGTGGTCTTGAAGTCTCTCAACCACCTTCCTACTGGAAGAAATCATTAGTTCTTAGACTGGTTCTCTCTCTAGATTCAGAGGGGAAATATGGGGATTCATCTAAGTGTATCGACCCAGATGTTCTCATCTCTCAGGGTCCCATTTTTTCCAGTCAGGACCCCGACTTTGCATATAGACTTGACTAAGTTGACAAGAAAACATTCTTGAGCTCAGATATTCTTATGATTACACCCTGGGCCTGGGCCTCAGCTTTTCCGGCCTTTCCACTGCAGAAGAGTTTCTTAATATGCTGCCAAGGAGGCCAACTGATTTTTCCATTTAGTCTTTAATTAATTATCCTTGGCTTTTCATTGTCTCTTTTAAAAGCATTAATTGCCTCAAGCAATAGCCATCCACTAACATTGTCTTTATAATGCCTGATTCTTCACAGCTCTCTAATGCCTAATACATCACACCCTGGTACACTTCCTTCCGCTGATACACCCACCCCAGTTCATCATCAGCAAAAGTTTTAACAATTGCAATTCTATTTTGTGCCTGTGCTGCATCTATGGCCAGAGTGGGGTCCTCGTTGTCAGCCAGGCAGCAGGTGATTTAGCTCCCATTTTACCATCTGCTTTCTACCTGTCCCGGCACCAGTTGTCACAGGTTGGATTCTCCATGGAGTAAATTCTGAGATGCAAACTAGCATGCAGAAAGTTCCCAAGGGAGCGTAACTTGAGGGCAGTGGAAGAAAGCAAGACTGAGAAAGAAACTGAGCTGCAAAGCAGTCCCAATAAAGCCTCAGCAGACCCCTCAGGGAGCTCTGAATCTGTGATGGCCCTTTTGAGTTGCCCCCAAGTTCAGGGGAGAAGCCTGGCATTCATATGTCTACTTCAACCAGTCACTTGGTACAGGCTGCCCTGGGAAGAAGGTGTGGCCTTGGACAAGGTGGCTCTCTTGACCAGAGATTAATTTAAGTCCTCAGTTCTGAAGAGGAGCTCTGGACAGTGCAGGACAGGATCCAAGACAATGATGGCAAAGGCTTTACAGAACTAGGGGGAACAGAAATGGGAACAGCCTTCAAAAAGAGGAAGTGCTTGGACAAGAATAATCCTCCTCCTGTAGTATGATTGTTTTCTTCATCTACTAGTTAATAGGATTTGATTCTAGTTACAAAGTTTGATCTCACTATAAAAAAATGTAAATGAGACTTCTATTTTGTTAATAAAGCATCTGAACAAAAATAATTATCTTGAGTTTACCCAGAACAACATAGAGCAAACAGATATCAAGGAATAAAGGTAAAGTAGTATGAAGAATTGAGAGCACATCTGTACTTTAATTTGGGTCTTAAGTTTGTAACTATAACAGCAATCATACTTCTAAACAAACCATGTCCAGTAGCTCTGCAAACACATCCAATGGTAATATTAGAGCTGTATACTTTATACTGTAAAACATATCAGATTCTCACTCTATAAATTCACTGTGCATTTCCTTGGAGTTTTTTTGTTTGTTTTCATTTAAAAAATGGGCATATCTATAATTCACAATCAAAGTCAGGTTCCTGAAGGCTTAGTTATGAAATACTGTCTGTCAATTTGCTTCTCAAAAGAATTTGTTAAAAAAAGAAAAACAGTATAATGTATTCTTTAAAGCAATTTTATAGACATGGGAAATCTAGTTAATTTCATAGTGATATTGATTTGAATATGATACAAAGAAAATGCAAGTATTTTCTAGGACAATTGTATAGATAAAGGAGGCTTTAATAATTCATGGAGGGGGGAGGTGATAAAACAAACTTCTTTTTCAGATGTTTTAAAATTTCTATATAATTTTTTGTCCCCAAACCATTTAACTATGGTATACAAAATAGACTGAACACATTGCCTGGTGTCAAGGGAGGAAACCCTCTCTTTTATATAATAAAATTATCTTCTGGTCCATCTTGACCCAAGTCCTGGTCGTCTCTGGGCACAGGCTTAAAGTTGTAGTAAAAAGCATCATTCGTATCTACTGGTTGGTAGTCACCCTCCTCTGCAGCCAGGAAGTCGTCACCTCCAGAGCCACTGCCAGAGCCTGAGCCAGAATTGTCCTCAGAAAGAGGGAAGACGTCATTCCAGTTCTGGAATCTGAAGTAAGACAGAAAAATGAAAAAAAACACAGTAAACTTGGAGACAGAAGGAAGATAACTGTAATACATTGTTTCAGATAAGAAACTAAATGCAGCCACCCAGTTAATCAAATTAAAAGTTAAAAAATTTCCCATATATTCAGTGCTTTAAAAGAAAAAATAAGTGAGACCTTTCCACTTTTGCCTGTACTTATTTTACGTAACTTACTGCATTTATCCATTTCACATCTGTCCATTGCAAACAAAGCTAATTTTATTTTATTTTTTTAAGTTTTTCCTTTATTAATTTTAGAGAGAAAGGATGGGAGAGGGAGAGAAAGATAGTAAATCGATGAGAGAGAACATCAATTGGCCGCCTCCTGCATGCCCCCAATGGGGATTGGGCCCACAACCTGGGCATGTGTCCTGACCAAGAATCGAACTGGCGACCTCTTGGTTCATGGATCGATGCTCAACCACTGAGCCACACCGGCCGGACCAAAGCTAATTTTCTTATCACGAGCATAGCAATCTTATATTTGGAATTTACTTAAGGGATCATTTATTAAAAATAAAAAGACTTTTTTTTTTTTTCCATTTTTTGTTCAGATAGAGTGGGAGGGAGAGAGAGGAAGCGAGGGAGAGAGAGAAACAGCGATGTGAAAGGGACACATCTAGTGGCTGCCACCCACACGACTCAACCAGGGCCGGGGACAAACTGCAACTGAGGTACGTGCCCTTAGCGGGAACTGAACCAGGGTCTCTCTAGACCACGGGCCGATGCTCTAACCGCTGAGCCAAACCGGCCAGGGCAAAAATAAAAAGACTCTTTTTCCATTTTCTCCCACTAAAGAAAGGACAAACAAGTCAGCCTCAATAGATGACATTCCTAATTTAAAATTTCCACAAACTTCTAATAATTCACAGTGCTTTAACAAAGCCCACTCGTAAGAAATTCTTTGCAACAAGTTAAGCATTATATTTGCCAGTATGTTAACATTCCGTTTCCTCCCCCAAAAATAAGTGCATTCATTTGGCTGAATTCAGTGTGGTGGTTAGATGTCCAATCAGATCAAAAGCTCAGAGCAGTGGTGCCACCCCTCAGTGGCAGAAGAAGTCAACAAAGCATCAGAGACAAACATTGAGTTTCACAGCCTATGGGTCATTTTCTCCATGAAAATAATAAACCACACACCATGCAACAGATTAGCATTTCATTCGTGCATGCATTCAATAAATATTTATTGAACACTGATCCCTGTCCTGAGTGCCTGGGATAGAATGGGGACTGACTTGAGATCTGTGTTCCAGAAGTCTATAACTTAGTGGGCAAGACAGGCAATAAAAAGTGAATAAATCAGGACAACATAAGGGTCGTATGAAAGGCAACCAATCAATGCCTCTCTCACATCAATGTTTTCCTCTCTCTCCCTGCCTTCCACTCTATCCAAAAATTAATGGAAAGGTATGCTCAGGTGAAGATTAATAAAAAAATAATCCGGTACCTATTAGCAGTCACTCTTTATGCCTCCCTTCCTACCCCAGCCCCTGGCAACCACAGATATATTTTCTGACTCTGAATTTTTCTATTCTGGACATTTCATATAAATGGGACCACATGTTATGTGGCTTTTAGTGTCTGCTTTCTTTCACTTACTTAACGTTTTCAGGATTCATCTATGTTGCAGCATGTATCAGTACTCAGTTCCCTTCTTATAATTAAATAACATTATACTTTAGGGATATACCACATTTTGTGTATCATTAGGTTGATGGACTTTATTAGATCTTATTATCTATTGTGTTTTATTTACACAAATAATGTTCAATAATTTTCAATACCTATTGGTGAAAAATATTTTCACAAATTTTTCACTCCATTTTTGTCTCTGCCAAAATAAAATTTTGCAAAAGAATGCCGGAACTGTGTGTGCTTGCACATCGCATCTACCGGTAAATACAGTGCAGTGAAAACTAAACACCAGAGCAAGAGCCTAAGGTAAACACTCCCGACAGCCCTCCACCTCCATGCCAACATCTCAACAGAGACTGGTGAAAGGGAAAATAGAGTGAGTCCACTTACGTAAAAGGGTCAGTCCTTGGAGGGAGGATTCTGTTGGATTCACCCGGAGGCAGGTCGAACATTGGTCCCTTTTCATCAATGCAGTTTGCAGAATTACTGTCAGGATTACAGCGGACCCTCTGGTACCTGGCTCTCCGCACAGGTAAACCTGCCCAAACAAGCAACCACGTGGTTAATAGGTATCTCTTACACAGCTTCTAATCTTTCTGTCACTTGGAAATGTTTAATTAAATAGATTCTAAATTAGGTAGAAGGTAAGGTGTAGATAGGTTTTATGACCATTAATATAACAGGAGCACCCACCGTGTGGCAGCCTTTTCTAGATATTGGCTGTCCCACTCACAGCACCTTACAAAGCAGCCCCGGGCTGAAGGCTAGAATCGGCGCTGGCCATCAGCTGCCTGGAGCGAGGTCCCAGCTGGGCTCCCAGTGAGCGGCGAACCCTTCATTTCCCTGAGCCCTCAGTGTCTCTTTTTCATAAGCTGGTCACAAAAATTCAATGACAAATGCATGTAAAGACCTTAACATAGTGCCAGGCACCCAGTAAACACTTGATAATATTAACTATTATTATGTTTGTACTACGATCTCCATTTTACACAAAGGAAAACAGGCCACACAGGTGCTGCCTGTCTCTTGTGGTAGAGATGAGTCGAATCACGAACGTTAAGGAATATACGGAAGGTACCAACATATTACAGAGCCATCGAGCGTGCTGAGGAATGAAAACATAAAAAGCTGGCCTCTCGCTTGCCCTCCCATCGGATCAGAGATGTCAAAAGATCAAGGCTTCTCGTCACAGAGGGACGGACAGGTTGGAATATCCCAGTATGTCAGAGCTTCTTTGGAATTAAATTTCTATGCCAAACACTCTGTAGCTGGTGTTAAGAGGTGATATAGGAGATCCCTAATTAATCCATGAAATAAATTCTTCATTCCTCCGTTTAGCAAGGGTGGAGGCCTGGTGGTGAGAAACGCTTCACCCTTCAAACGGTTCATCTCCCCACCCCTAGCACACACTTTATTCAAGTACGACTAACAATCAGCTAGCAAGAAGGGGCATGTCTAAAATTCTTCTCTTTATTATAGGGACATATAAAATTCTTAAAAAGCAGGAAAGGTGGTTTTAAAGCCCAGCACATTGTTGTCCTGTTCAGATCAAAATGTAAATGATAACAACTACGTAAGAAAAAAAAGACGGAGTGCTGTGGACAATCACTGCAGCACTTTTTGTAACAGCAAAAGATGGGAAAGTGAAATGTTATCTAAATAAAGGTACAGCCTGGCCAGTGTGACTCAGTGGATTGAGCATCGTCCCATGGACTAAGAGGTCCCAGTTCGATTCCTGGTCACGACACATGCCCAGTTGCGGGCTCCATCCCCGGTGAGGGGCATGCAGGAGGCAGCTGATCAATGTTTCTCTCTCACATTTAGGTTTCTATCTCTCTCTCTAAAAAATCAATAAAAACATGAAAAAATAAAATTAATTACTTAATTAAGGTACAGCCTACAATACAATACAGCTATTAAATGAATGAAGCAGTTCTCTGGGTATTGATATCCAATAATCTTCAAGGTATATTATTAAGTAAAAAAAAAAAAAAAAAAAAAAAAGAACTTTATGTATTGTGTGTTTGTGGGTTTTTGGTTTTTTTAAAATATGTTTTTATTTTTTAAATATTTTTTTTGATTTTTTTTTTAGAGAAGGAGAGAAAGATAGAAACATTGATGTGAGAGAGAAACATTGATCAGCTGCCTCCTGCACGCCCCCTACTGTGGATCGAACCTGAAACCCAGGCATGTGCCCCGACTGGGAATCAAACCAGGACCTCTCAGTCCATGGGAGGACATTCAATCCACTGAGCCACACTGGCCAGGAGGAAAACCTGTATTTTAAAATAAGTGAAAAAAGCACAATACCACTGTGTAGGCATAATAATTGTTTATGTGCATAATAGTTAAACTACATAAACAAATATGGGAGGAAATGGGAGAAAACACACAAAGATAATTAGTGGTAGACTCTGGTGATTTTTTTCTCATTTAATTTTTTAAATTGCTGTAAGAAACAATATTTCTTTAAAAATATAAACAAAAAAAGACTCTAATGTAGAAAAAAGTAAATATTTTCTTCCTTCCTTCCTCCCTTCCTTCCTTCCTTCCTTTGGAACCACTAGTCTATCACAATCTTCTCCGTGGTTCCTGAATACAATATCTGGATTGGGACACCTAGTCATTTAAAGTGGGTTAACTATGTCACTGTCCGGAGGTTGAGGGGTCAGGTAGCAAGATGACATCATAATGTCTGCCCCTTACCAGCTGTGTGACCTTGACCAACTTAACCTTCCTATACCTCAATTGCCTCATCCATAAAATGAGGACAGTCGTAGATCTAATAATGAAATATAAATATTAAGTTTTTAGAATAGCACATGGTCAGAGCTCTTTAAGTGCTAGTTTCTCTGCTTAGGAGAACAACAAGGACTCATCTCTGATAGAGAATAGCTTGTAGAAAGACCAGAATTTAAATTTCTGTTCTAGCATTTAATGCCTTTCTGATTCTCAATTTCTCACCTTTCAAGTGTGCATAATAGTGTCCCAAAGAGTTCCTGTTTAAGCAAGATAAATGTGTGCGAAACATTTAACACAAGCCTTTGCATATGATAAGTATTTAATACATTTTAGCTCTTTCTTTCTCCTGTTTCTTTCCTGAAGCAGCCCAAGTTGGGAATCTAATTATGTACTGCTTAGAAGCCTAATCTTGTAGGTGGGATAAAAGTCCAACATCTCTTCCAGCAGAGGGCGCTGTCTTCACACCCTATGTTGTCTAGCCCTGTGATTTTCAACGGCTGTGGCCACAGAATTTTTACTTTTACTTTTAAAAAAATGTATTTTAGAGACAGAGAGGAAGGGAGAGAGGGGAGGACTGAAAGAGAGAAACATCAATCTGTTGTTCCACCCACTCACACATTCAAGGTTGTCTCCCGCAGGATCCCCTACCCAGGGATCAAACCCGAAACCTTGGTGCATCTTTGATCCGTATGGTCCATGCTCCAACCAACTAAGCTACCAGGCCAGGGAAATACCTGACTATTTAGTCAGGGACACTGACCTCTTTTCCCTTAGACTGTCAAATTTTAAAAAATGACAACACCCAACACATTATACCTTTTTTCTTTTGTCAGATCAACAAAAATAGAATATGTTTTGGTGTGCCACAGAATTTTTGTAATTAGTTTATGTGTGTCATGAGATGAAAAAGGTTGAAAATCCCTAGTGTAGACCAATGCTGACTAAGAGAAACAGAAGACAAAACCATATATGAAATTTTCAATGTTGTAGTAGCCATATTTTAAAAAGTAAAAAGAAACAATGAAATTCATTTTAATACATTTTATTTAAACCAACATATTCAAATACTGTTACTTAACATCATCGATATGAAAGTTATTCATCGATTTTATTACATTGTTTTCATACTAAAACTTCACGTCTGGTGCATATTTTGCACTGAAAGGTGGTCTCAATCGGGACTTGCCACACTACACATATTTCCAGCGCTCGGCAGCCACGAGAGGCTGGTGGCTACCATCTGGGAGAGCAGGAATAGGCAGTCTCCTCTACGTGCAGCTGAGGCACTGGATGTCAAGCCAAAAGAATATTTGCATAGATAGGAAGTTAATCAGAAAAGTAAAACTAACACTTTATGAGGAAGGATCCAGGTGATTGACTACAACTTTTCACTAGTACAACAAATGCAACTTCGGTAAACTAGTAAAAAAAATAAATCTAAAAGCTTGGCCGGTTTGGCTCAGCGGTTAGAGCATTGGCCTGTGGACCAGAGAGACCTGGATTTGGTTCCCGCTAAGGGTACATACTCTCAGAAAGACAAAAAAGAAATCTAAGATACAGAATGTTCCCCAGAGTTCAGAATCTCAGCTTTTAAAATTTATAAAGGGGGTTTCTTTTTTTGGGTGATGGAATGTTCCATAACTGACCATCGTGAGGGTTGCATGTTATCTGTGAAAACACTGAAAAGCATTGAATTGTACACTTTAAATGGGTGAAGTGTGTGATATGTGAACTCTATCTCAATAAAGCTGTTAAAAATTTTATAAAGCAATCAAAAGTAGAAGTCTCCCCCCACTCCCAAGAGTATCCGATTTGGGACTGATGTTTTTAAAATAAAGAATGTGGTTACAGTTCTTTAGATAAAGAACATGGTTATAATTCCTGACATATATATTCAAGAGTGTTGGCAGGATGTGAACATTTAACAGTTTCAGCCCCTGATGCTGTGGAAGTATCTTGACTCTATCTTGCCTGAGAGAAATTTTTATGATTACCATATATAAAAAAATAAAAGGAAGTATGCTCATGGACAGAAAGATTATCTTCTTAAAAGGCCCCGCTTCCTGGATCAGCTGGTTGATTTTGTCGCGGATTCCAGGAAGAATGGTTTTTGTTCAGAATCCCTTTCCCTCACTGCACACTGCCTGCCCCTCTCTCTCCTGCTTCTTCTCTCTTCTCTCTCTCTGTCACTATTCCTGCTCTACCAAACTACTTTCTATAAATAAACATTACCAGAGCAAATAACTTATCCCCATAAGCTTTCTATTGTGGTACCAATTTTCCCCCAACACCATCACAGTTTACTAATTTCCTCTTCTTAATGGGGACTTGCTACAGATGTTAGAGAAACTTAAGCAGAAACTGCCATTTGATTCACTGTCTGGTCAAACTCAAATAGACCTCACTATCTAAGCTGAAGTTGCTTCCTACTAGCCAGTCTGTTCTACAGTATGGAGAGGAGACTCCACCCTTGAATGGTTTGACAAGCTATAAAAAGTATCAAGTTTACTTTCAATTTGTCCCTCAACTCAGTGGTAAACTTTGTAGTAAGGGCTATAGTCAAAGCAAGGTTTTTTGTTTTAAATAAAGAAAATCTCTAATCCACCAAGAAGATAGCCAAGTTGTAGTCGAAAGTTAACTGACCTTGAAATCAGTTTTGACATTAATTAGTTGTAATGGGCCTTGGGCAAGTCTCATACATTATTTGCAAAAGGTTGATGTAAAGAGCAAAGGAGATGATGAGTGTAAGATGCAGTTTTCTTCTCTCTAAATTGGTGGTAATGCCTCCTCACAACGAATGTGAGGATCATTTACCAAGAGAATGGATGGGAAAACCCACTAATATCAAACAGCAGCTCACATGGGTGGGATCAGTGTCATTACTGTGATCTAGGAGACAGGGTGGAGCAGACACATTGTCTGGCCCTGACCCCCTTGGCTATGGGCATCTTTGAAAAACAGAGGCAATAAAAGAGTTTAGAATTCACAGGCCTCCTCAAGAATCCTCTGGAGCTCTGTGTTAGATTAATTAGCCATCTGTGTTCTCCAGGGTCTCCCACACATCGCCAAGCTCCCATTGCTTCGACTCCATAGACAGTTTTACACCATATCTTCACTTGGGTTTGACTTATAATAACTGATATGGACTGAATTGTGTCCCCCTAATTCATATGTTGAAGTCCTAACTCCCAGTGCCTCAGAATGGGACTGACTTTGGAATAGGGCCTTAAAACAGGTAATTAAAGTAAAATGAGGTCATATAGATGAGCCTTAATCCAATAAATATGTCTGGTGTCCTTAGAAGAAGAGGAGATTGAGCCTGGCTGGTGTGGCTTAGTGGACTGAGCATTGTCCCATGGACTGAGATGTCCCAGTTTGATTCCGGGTCAGGGCACATGCCCGGGTTGCAGGCTCGATCCCCAGTAGGGGGCGTGCAGGAGGCAGCTTCTCACATCGTGTTTCTATCTCTTTCTCCCTTCTCTCTCTAAAAAAGTAAATAAAAACATATTTTTAAAAAGAGAGGGGATTGAGAACACATACACAGAGGAAGGACCATGTAAAGGTACAGAGAGAAAACACCCAGCTGTAGGCCCAGGAGAGAGGCTTCAGAATGAAGTCAACCCTGCCAACACCTTGATCTTGGACTTCCAGCCTTCAGTGGGGAAGTGAATTTCTGTTGTTTCAGGCGTCAGTCTGTGGTACTTTGTTATGGCAGCCCTAGCAAACGAATGTAGTAACCTAAGACGTTTTTTGAATATGTTCAGTAAAAGCCTCATTAATATGATCAGTTCAGTCAAACCAATGGGTTAAGTGAAAATGAATGTAAAGGTGGGGAAAGAACGCTATCGAGTCGTATCTGGCCTCACGTGGCTGCAGGTGAAAGGGCGGCGGCTCCTTGTGCTGCAGCCTGGAGCTGCCATCACTCCCGGGCCGCCGTGGGTGGGCACCTATTTCCCTACTTTTTTTTTTTTTTTACCCTCACTCGAGGACATTTTTTGCATTTATCTTCAGATAGAGCCATAGGGAGAGACAGGGGAAGAGAGAGAGAAACATCAATGTGAGAGAGACACATCAACTGGTCGCCACCTATACGACCCCAACCAGGGCCGGGGACAAACTGCAACCGAGGTACGTGCCCTTAGCGGGAACCGAACCTGGGACTCTCTGGTCCACAGGCTGACGCTCTAACCGCTGAGCCAAACCGGCCAGGGCCTATTTCCCTTCTTACTCAGAAGTGGGCACAAACCCTTAATCCCAAAATCAAGTGCACTTCTCCTTTGGAAACACCCTAGTTTTTCAGTTTATTTTCTCTCTTTTAGTTTCTTTTCCAACTAAGAGCTAAACGTACCAGGTGATGACATGAATGCTGGTACTTTACATAATTTCATCATGGTTTCTTTCTTTCTTCACTTCTTTTTGATGAATACCTACTACATAGGAACACTTTTGTTTAAATTCTAGTTTTACCTGTTGAACCTAAGTAGGGAATGTGCCATTTCTGGGAAATTCAGAAGATATAAAGACTTCTTTAGCTCTGGCCAGGGAAGACCCAGAACCATTGGCCACTCTGGTCTGTGCAACAAATGGACCTCTCTGCTCTTGATCTGGTGGGAACACATGGAATTATTTCATCTAGCTGAAGTTATCCCCTAAAAGGTCCAAGTAAAGTCTGTTCCCTACAATTAACAATGTTTTATACTTAAAAAATTAATAGATTAGTGGAAAAGTTTCAGCAACATTACTTGCTGTTTGTTCTTCAATAATTACATAACAATAAAAAACTTTATAAATTTCCAATACATAATTAATGTATCTGAGATCATCCATATGATTTCATTTCTACCAGAAGTTAAAACAAGACAGCTAAAAGTCACTTCAAGGAAACAAATCCGGGACATGTGTGTCACCATGACTCAATAGTTCCTCTACAATTCAGGGGAACTTAATGTGATTCTACTATAAATTCTCCCATCTATTTATCAGGCCGTGACATCCTGCCTTATTTAGATAGGATCCCTTATTTACCAAAGGAGCAGGCATTGTATATTTCTCACAAACTGATCATTTTTGTTTTCTGTCATATGTTTCAAGTTGTTTCAGAATGACTAAACAACCGTAAATGACAGAGAAACCTAACAAGAAAATTTCCAAATGTGATATTTCTCTGACCAACAGCACAAACACTAAAATTCTTTGATCTCTCTTTAAAATCTGAGAGGGTTTTCATTAACTATGCCTAACCATAATTGAATTTTCACTAAGAACCAAGTTTAAAAAGAAAAAAAAAATACACACAGTCAAATTTACTCTGATTAAAAAATAGTACTTCCCAGATTACAATTATCATGACACCTCTGTAATACATTAGAACTTGGGGTAAATGGAGACACTCAGAAGTGGGTAGACACGCCAAAACAAAGGTGCCATCTCCTTCATGCAACAGGTCATTATTCCTTTCTGAGTTTTAAAAAATGTATAAACTGCCCTGGCCAGTTTGGTTCAGTGGTAGAGCATCATCCTGTGGACCATTGAGTCCCAGATTTGATTCCAGCCAAGCGCAAGTACCTAGGTTACGGTTTGTCCCCAGCTCTGATAGGGGTCGTGCGGGAGGCAACCAATCGATGTATCCCTCTCATGTCAATGTTTCTCTCTCTCTCTCCCTTTCTCTCCCTCTCTCCCTTTCTCTCCCTCTCGCTCTACCTGAAGATAAATGGAGAAATAGCCTTGGGTAAGGATTAAAAAAAAAAATGTATAAACTGTCCTGGCCAGTGTGGCTCAGCAGTGAGAGCATCAGCCCAAAGACTGAAGGACCTTAGGTTAGATTCCTGGTCAAGGGCACGTACCTGGGTTGCAGGTTCAATCCCTGGCCCTGGTTGGGGTTTTGTGGGAGGCAACAAATCAATATCTCTCTCACATCAATGTTTCTCTCTCTTTCTCTCTCCCTCCCCTACCCCTTCCTCCCTTTACTCTATCTAAAAATCAATGGAAAATATCCTTGGGTGAGGATTAACAACAACCAAAAAAAGTATAAACCACACATTTTTATCCAAAATTAAAATAGTGCATTTCAATTATTGTAAGAGTTTACAAGGTTGTGCCTGCCTGAGAGTTTAATTTTTCTTGGTATCAAACTTAACCAAACTCACACTAAGAAATTCAGTCACCACAAATCCTTTTCCTTTGCCTACTTTCCCTTAATATAAGTGAACATAACCATTTGTGTGAGCCCAGGGGTTTACTGAGACCATTACAGGAGGAGAAGGGTCCTGACGCTTACCTTGAACCGAAGAACCCAAAACCAGGATGAAGGCGAGAGCCAGGACCAGCCGGCTGTTCTGGAGAAGTACCTGCATCATGCCAGCTTGCTTCGCCTCTGCACCCTGCACGCCGACCCTGCAGTTAGGAAGTGCAGGAGGTACTCTCTGTCCCTTTTAGAAAGGGTTCTAAAACCTCAGACCCTGCCCAGAACACACGTCATAATTTCCTGAACAAATAGAAAGAGACCCACATTTAAAAAAACAGAAAGATTGAAAAAAAAAAAAGGCAGCAAAATAACTATTCATACCCATTATGAAACAGCATTACTCTCCCAGGTCTGGGTTTTCAAAAGCTTTGTTGTTTGCCACTTGCCTGTTAGAAATTTTTTTCCACTAAAACAGTAGAATCAGCATTCAGTAGAGTTTGTTTTTTCTTTCTTCAAGTAACAATCTAAACACGAAATTGCTAGCATTAAGAGTCCACTGCCCTGTTGATGAGACAAGGGAGCAAGGTACTGATTTTTCAAGCGCCTTCCACGTAAAATAGTCTTAATTTTCTCTCTCTTCAGGAATAGCATAACTCGCTGAGCCCAGCTCAGTAAGTGAAACTTCAAAGCTGAGTTCTCATCTACAAGAAAGTGTTGTCGGATTTCCCACAACAGTTTCTGCTTCTCGGACTCAGTTTCTCGCTTTGGACCGCAGGCTCTGCCCCTACCTCAAGAACAGAGTATTTTCTGTTAGGAAGACGCGGGTGAAACCGAAGTGGTGGGTCCCCCTCTGCTCCTGCACACCAAGTGCTTCTTAGGATGAGGTGCCATTTATACTGGCATCTTTCCTCCTGGTAAAAACATTCAACTTGAGTTTTGGGTCATCTGGACTTGAATAAGCGGAAAATCAGAAACAAGGAGAGGTTGTCCATTCACTGGACCTCAGAAGACACAGAAGACACACAACCCACTGCCCCCGGCAATGAAGCAGCCTCATTTCCCAGGTCCCGGGGACGGTGCGCAGACCCTGGCAGGGCTGAGGAACACCAGGTACAGGCTCCACATTGAAGTCACACGATAAACAGTCTATCACATGTTCTTGCCCTTGGAGCACATGCTCTTTTCTTACTTCCATCCAAGAGTCAACACGCTCCCTTTCAAGTCTGTCCCTGCCGCTCCCACTTGTCATTTCATCTTCGCGCTGGCCTGGCCTTTGACAGGAGGGAGGAGTTTCCCTTCTCTTGGCTTCGGCTTCCTGCTGATTCCTTTACCATTTCCTGCTAAGGACAGGCCTCAGAATCTAATCGCTGAGTGGCCGCCGTGCAAATCCACAAGTGTGTGCAGCAGACACACCTCTGAGTGCCGTCACCAACCCCATGCTCCCAAGCCCGGAGGATTTCCCACCACGGGAGACTGGTTTCAGCTTGAAATAACAGCCCTCATCTTTGGTCCCCTTTAATCCTACTCCCCAGTTTAAAACCCTGGCACCAGGACGATAATCCCTGTCAATAGCTTCAATTAATTCCCTGCCAAATGTCAGAGCTGATTAGAGCTTGTCCTTTAAATTGGTAATTTGGGGGTTTTTTCTATTTGAGTACTTCACTTTTTTTCTTCTTTGGGTTGTGGTGAATTTTTTTGGTTTTTAATTTTACAGCATTTGTAAGCATTTGCTCTTCTACCAGTACACCGACAACCAACAATTTCTGTTTTCAAATAGCCTTCCTCCAGTTTCACTCCCTTGGAGCTGTGGAGGAGCCGGGCACAGGGCCTGGGACCCGGGTCGGAGCTTGCCTCCCTCGCTGCCGCTGAGAGGCGCTGGGCCGACTGCGCTCACACTCCCATCGCCCAGTTTCCATAATTTCAAGACAAACTCTATTCCAGACTTCACCTTCATTTACCAGGAACCCCAGTGCACTTACCTTACTTCACACTCCGTTAATTTGCCTGTAAATGGGTGACTTTATTTCTTCACAATCACCCTGCAACAAGACACCAGTCAGTTCCTTGTATAAGAGAGAAACTTACCCCCTCCACCTGCAAGCAACGTCAGCATCACTTTTCACTAGTTATGGGATTCAGCCTGCAGACCAGAGAGTCCTGGGTTCAGTTCCTGCTAAGGGCATGTACCTCGGTTGCGGTTTGTCCCCGGCCCTGGTTGGGGTCGTGTGGGTGGCAACCAGTAAATGTGTCTCTCTCACATCAATGTTTCTCTTTCTCTCCCCCCCCCCTAAAAATAAATAAATAAATAAATAAACAAATAAATAAATAAATAAATAAATAAATAAAATCAATAAAGGGAAAAATTTTTTTTAATTAAAAAAAAGCCCTGGTTGGTTTGGCTTAGTGGTTGGAGCATCAGCCTGTGGACCAGAGACCGGGTTTGGTTCCCACTAGGGGCACATACCAAAAAAATAAATCGATGAGAGAGAAAATCGATTGGCTGCCTCCTGCATGCCCCCACTGGGGATTTGGCCCACAACCTGGGCATGTGCCCTGACCGGGAATCGAACTGGCAACCTGGGTCAATGCTCAACCACTGAGCCACATTGGCTGGGCAAGGGTATCTTTATCTTATTTGTAGTCCATAAAGATAAGGAAATACCTCCTAACTATAAAAGGGACCTTCCAGGGAATTTTTTTTTCTTTCCCCAAAAAGTGACTCCTTTATTCATGGGACTCGTCACTCATCTCCTGTGAGTTTCCCATTCTTTCAAATCTACTTTCATTCCCACTTCCTCCCCTTTAGTGAGTGGGGAGATGTGGCCAAGACAGAAGAGCATCTTTGACTCTTCTGACTCAGGAGAGCAGCTACCATTGTCTTGTCAGTGTCCTCAGAGTCTCGGTGGATGTGTGCCCGCAGGATCCGTGCCACGGGACAGGACACAGGCTCACGCGCAGCCCCAGCTCAGCCAGGGGCTCCTTCCCTGCCTCTTCCCTTCTTACAATTGTAGCCACATATCCAATTTCCCAAGGCAGGCTCCCCCTTGCTGAAGGTCTCCATGGCCCTAGTCCAGAAGCCCCCCAGCTGTTGCCAAGTACATAAAAATTTGGGAATGTCGGTGTTTGAATTTTGGACTAGGAATGGGGGAGAAGAGCTCCTGCCCCATAGTTTGAATCTACAATTTCACAAGAGGAGAAAGTAGGGGCAAGGGGTCTATAGGAAATCTCTGTATGTTTTGCTTAATTTTGCTATAAACCTAAAGCTACCCTACAAAGTAAATTATTTTTTAAAAGACATAAAGAATTATCAAATGCTACCTTAAGTCTAGTAGAATATGACATTCCAATTCCAAAATTATAGGACTTAAAAAAAAAAAAGTTGCAATGGAAGAGCCACAGACTGAATATTATTGATACAAATAACTGGGAACAGGGGGATGTGTTATTTCTCTTGGGAATATTTTCACAGGGATCAAAAATACTGGAAACAAATCTCTTGCGGGAAATTTTAGACATGAGAGAATAGGAGTGAACATGTGGGTTAGGGGGGATCAAACCCTTTAAAAATAAATCAAGAAAGAAAGTCCTTATTTGACTTAAGTTTTATTTTCCCCAAGACATACTATCTATCAATACTATTCTAAATTAGTTTTTATTTCTTTAGCAAGTTATATTTAAATTAAATTTTTTTTCAATTACAGTTTATATTTACTATTATTTTGTATTAGTTTCAGGTGTACAGCATAGTGTTTAGACAATCATATGCTTTACAAAATGTTCTCCCTGATATTTCCAGTAACTATATGTAATCATATATAGTTATTACAGTACTATTGACTATATATCCTATGCTGTATATATTTCTAACTTAAAAATTAATAATGCTTACTATTAAAAAAATGGCAAGGGAATGCAAATCATAAATGTAATAGAAGATTTTTATCAAAAATACATTTAAAAATTCTACAACATAATAAAAAATAAATTTAAAAAATGGCAAAAAGACAAATCCTTTATCACCTTCCATCCAGAGATTACCACGGCCACATCCTGCCTTTGGTGATTCAAAGTGGCACATACAGTTCACCAGCACTCTGGGTTCCCTCTAATCTCCTCTTGTTGCTTTTATTTTATACCTCACCCTGTGGCTCTGCCTGGCCCCACGGATGTCCTCAGAACTAACGTGGCTGTTGAATCCAGCCAATTCTGTAATGCAGCCATCAATTCACCGCCTCTGCAGATAAGCAAACTATCCAAGTTCCCAAACTCAGTGACAATATTTCTTTAAAAGAATTTTTAATTTATTGATTGATTGATTTTAGAGGAGAGGAAGGGAGAGCGAGAGAGAGAGAGAGAAACATCGATGAGAGAGAACATCCATTGGCTGCTTTCTGCATGTCTCCCACTGGGGATTGGGCCCACAACCTGGGCATGTGCCCTGACTGGGAATCAAACTGGTGATCTCTTGGTGCATGGGTAGATGCTCAACCACTGAGCCACAATGGCTGGGCTCAGTGACAATATTTCACAAGCTTCACAACCCAAGCTCATTCCTACTCCCAAGAACATATACTGCAATTCCACTCATATATTTGCAATTATATTTAAGGTTATGGTCACTAAAGAAGAGAAAAGTTCTTGTTCCTTAATTTTTAACCACAGAACATTAACCAGATTTCAACGGCTCATTTATTTCAATCCTCCAAGGCTGATCACGTTTACGAATTAAATTACTACACTTTAGTTGGTTCTTATTTTTGGCCCGACTCTAGGCTCTAGTTTTTAGTCTTGGTCACAAACATAAAAAATGAACAGAATTGGTTAGTAAAATGTTATTTAGAAGCTTAACCATTTGGTCACAATTATTACATTGAGATAGTAAAAAATTTTCTCATGGGGAATCTTAACTTTGTTGTTGTTAATACTCACCCAAGGATATTTTCCATTGATTTTTAGATAGAGTGGAAGGAAGGGAGGGGGAGAAAGAGACACATCGATTGGCTGCCTCCTGCACACAACCCTGACCAGGAATCAAACCTGAAACCCAGGTACGAGCCCTTGCCCAGAAATTAAACCCGCAACCCTTCGATCTGTGGGCCGACACTTTAACTGCTGAGCCAAACCATCCAGAGTGGGGAATCTTTGCTTTTAACCCCACCCTGACACCCCAAAGAATGAAAGAATCTGCCTATCCTCTATCCAAAACAATAGTGTCTACTGCTGGAATCAGTTGCTC